CCCGCCAATTCAACCTATGCCTCTGTGCATTATTGCCTTCTTGCAAGGAACAGTGACCACTCATTACCTACCTCTCTCTCTCTCTCTCTCTCACACACACACACAGAGGACGGTGGCTACTCATGTCCTCTCTCTCCTCTCTCTCTCTCACACACACACAGAGGAACAGTGGCTACTCGTGTCACTATCTCTCTCTCTCTCTGTGTTTGTTCCAAATAGGTTCGTCCGATTAGACAGCGTCGCCCCTGGCTTATATGTACACATGCATGACTCGAAATAGGGGGCCAAATGAGACCCATGAGCGGACTTGGCAAATGCACGCCGCGCACCAGATGAAGGAAATGACATCGGGTACCAGGCGAGGTAAATGACGCAGCGTAACCGACCACGCAAGTGACGCAGTTGTGATTGAGGCATAGAAAGTGCATAAATCATAATGGCGGGACAATATTGCCTGACACAGCGTACCAGGCAGTGGGGAATGCCGCAATTATGATAAAGTCGGATATAGAAACATCCCAGCAGAAATCATAACTACGTTAAAATAATCTTCACATGTTGGGATGCGTAATTTGATGGAACTAATGGGGTGGTTCCGGAGATGATGATCTTTTAAGAAAATAGATTATACATTTTCATTCGCGTTAACAAAATGTCGTGATTACATTCATAGACAAGTTGTCGCTAGTTGCAGACAATAGAAAGATTAACAATCAATAACACGAGATTGTTGTTCTTTTTTAACTGAGGGCTGAGGGCGGAAAGAGGCTGAAGCCAGAGTGGATGCACGCAACGAACTCCGCCGACATCCGCGCACAGCACATGATGGGAGAAGATGAGTCAACAAGCTGAAATGAGACGCACCTTTTGCAACCGAAATTGGCTGCAATCGATTATCCGAATAACCCCATGGCTGCCACTAACGGCTAGCATCGGACATCCAAAATCGTCACAGCTCCAGCAGACGGTGTAAAAGTTCTCATCTTTCTGCTCAAGTACACAGCATACGCACAATCACTCTAATTAGGAACAGCAAGAAGAGTAAGACAGGACAAGACTGTACGTTCTATATCCCCGAACAAAACGTACTGTCGCTATAGCAATATTTGGCTCACCTTTTAGCCCAGATAAAGCAGAAATGACCGTACGTTCTATTCAGGGGAACAGGGTAGCAAGACAGAAGACAAGAGATTGCCCTTCTGACGAAGTCTCGTATTAATAGCGAAACAGACCATTTTTTTCCTTTTCTTCTGGACTTCGGATCCGGGTGACCCCTCTAAATAAAAAGAGGTCACTCTAAAAATGGTGCCTGTAGTCTTCTCCCGAATACAACGTACGGTCATTATAGCTGAATTTATTGGACTGAAAGATGCCCCAAATTCAGCTATAATGACCGTGCGTTGTATTCGAGGGACTACTGTAGGTAGTAAAAGCTCCGTCTACTGGTTGGGAGCAGCACCTGCTGGAAGACGGGTCGGTTCACCTAGCAGTAAGTCTTAAAGCTAACTTTACCCTAACCGAATGTAAACCAGGGAAGATGTCCCACTAGCAAAAAGGATAGGTTTAAAGCCTGAATGCGGACATTTTTGTGGAGAGGTGCAGAATATCGTGATTGATCTGCCTTTCTGCATTTCTGCGTAAAATACACCGAGATTCAAGGGCTTAATCCAATCCTATTTGCTAGATAGGCCTCGCCCATAGAGTGGCCAGCCCTCGCTGCAGGCCACATTACCACACTTAAGAAAAAAACGCCAATATAGACTGGGCCGCCCGAGTAACGGCCCCAAGTCTTCCGGGTAGGGATTCCCACCATCCATTGGCAGATGTTTAATGAGACACTGCTACGGCTTCTTGCAAAAAAAAAAAAAAAAAAAGAACTTCGCTCCCTGGGATCACATCGAAAATCCTTTCCGAATTCTCAAATAAAATAAATTAAAAATGTATCTATTGTCAATATTTATATAACGTCAAACACATGTATCGTCAGACAGAGTTGCCCGGTATACAGTAGGCAGAGAGGGAGAAGAGGACAACAAACCGACTCACAGGAGGCTGAACCCTATATCGTCAAACATATATATCTGTGCCCGGTAAACAGTAGGCAGAGAGGGAGAAGAAGACAACAAACCGACTCTCAGGAGGCTGAACCCTAAATCGTCAAACATGAATATCTGTGCAGAACATAGATGGTCTACACGCAAAAACGGAAAAAACACAAAGGAAATATTTATATTGCCCGGCTGGGTAACTTGCCCCCGGGCCACTCTGGTAGCCTAGATCCTGCAGCAAGCCCCTGAATTTCTCCTTCACCCTCAGAAGTGAAGGACAAGTCCCCCGCAGAGCGCTCGGATTCAGCGCCGATCTTCGCAAATCCGGCACATTCCATCTATTCATTAAACCCTAGTTCAGGAAACGGCACCGCCTCATCTCAAATTAAGGATAAGCAAGCTAACCCTAGCTCGAGACATAGGTCGACTGACCAACGACTCATCTCAAATGTAGAATAAGCAACCTAACCCTGGCTAACCCTAGCTCGAGACATAGGTCGACTGACCCTAAATCACAGATACAATACCACACAATCAGAAAATTTTCAGATCAGGTTTCATATAGAATCAAACATTCCCGATAACGTTTCCGATTACTATAGAGATTAAAAAGGTCATTCTTTCAGTTCAAATGACAGTCTGATTCGCAAGCAGTTTTTTTTAGCCCTCTATTTCTTAAAATAGGCAGATATCATCATCGCATTTGCCTGCTCTACCTTCTTCCCCCGAATACAACGTACGGTCATTATAGCTGTATTTAGACTGAAAGATGCACCAAGTACGTCGTTGTATTCGCGGGAAGGTATTTCAGAATCGTGGATTCCATTCATCTGCTTCCAGTGGCGTTCGTGCTCAACTTTGTGTTTCAACAGTTCAGTGGTGTACCAACTGGGCTGGGCAAGCAGGCAGCTTGTCACCATCGTTCAGCGAAAATATCACGTGATTCCTTTTCTCTAATGTCCGTTTCCAGAAGCTCGCGTCCTCTCCTTTGATTAGAGAAAAGAAACAAACAAAAAGGAAGAAAAAGAAAGGCACCGTAGCCTCGCCTAATCGGCGGAATGACTGCATCGCAGGCTACCCTAGAAACTTCACAAACATACCGGCAGCAAAATTAACAGGTAGTACACCTCATATGCAGTTTTACAAACATACCGACCGACTTCATACACAGCTTCCGAAACACATCGGCAGCAAACTTCACAGATAGACCCTACACGTGAACTGTTGAAATGCAGGGCCGAGTTAGATTTCATATGCACTCAGACGACCAGCATAAAATAATTCAGAAAATAGAAGGTAGAACTCACGTCTTCATCGACATACGCCTGCAGTACGGTCACCTCGCCTTGTGGCAGGCACTTATACACTGTAACCTGCATGCCAAGACCATACACATAATCCCATCGGTTACTAAACAACAACAAAAAAAACAATCCCGTCCGAGCACACAAACTCGTATCATCTGCAATAGGCTACCAGAGTGGCCCAGGACCACTTACCCGGCCGGGCCAAAACTTAAAACGGAAAAAAAAAACTACGCTACCAGCCGGGCCGCCCGGGTCCCGGGTGGACCGCCCGTGCAAGGACAAGGGAAGGTCCCAGCAAAAAAATAATAATAAAAAAGGAAATCCAGAAAATCCACAAAAAACTATGTTATGCAGAAAAATAAATTGAACAACTTTTGCCTGAGAGTCGCATCGAATTTCTTCACCAAATTTAAAATAAAAAATAAATTTTAAAATGGTATTTTTTTATTTTTATTCTAATGTTTTTGGTCCGGCCGGGCAAGTGGCCCCGGGCCACTCTGGTAGCCTAGAAAAAACATCAATTTTTTATTTCATTTTATTTTTTGGCAAAGAATTTCGCTGAGCCTGCCACACAGTTGGTTAATTTCTCGGACATCGGGTCGACCAGCTTCCAAAAACTCTTATTCGCCGTTCAATTTTCCGAGTACAATTTTCGAACTCTTCTCTATAAAATTAACGGAACAAGATTTGTACTAAGCTTCCAAGAACTCATGTTCGGCCCGACTACAATGGTGCATATGAAGTGGTGTAGTCGGGCGAGAGCAAATGACACCAACCACGGAACGCCTACCGACTTATGGCCTTCATACGAAGAGATCGTACTACGGTGCATATGGAGTGGTGTAGTCGGGCGAGAGCCAATGACACCAACCAGGGAACGCCTACCGACTTACGGCCTTCATACGAAGAGATCGTACAGTCATCGCCGTATCAAGACTGGAAGTTGCCCCACCCCATCTACAGAGACCCTAAGCTGTTCTATTCGGGAAACACTCCGGACACCACGCCACACCCCATCTCCGATGGCAACGATCTGCCCACGACTTCCACAACACGTCTATATTCCACTATTAACAAGACCTATAGATGACCCCAGAGATCGTCCGTCCATACACTCGATAAACTTGACCATATAATCCTAAATAATAGTATATAATCCTAAATAATAGTAACAATAGACAAATGGACCTCCGCAAGTACTCCCAATATACCTTGTCACGTAGTCCCACTGAACCACCCCACTCACTCATTTGTCTGGTCCGCTCCATAGATGCAAATCTGACGTAGACGGAAAATTCGTATTGCAACGACAAATGATCCATGAATGATGTACAACCCCCCCCCCCCAAGAAAATACAGATCAAACAAACATATGCAGATTACTAAAACAGTGCAAACCCTAAAAAAGGAAAAAAATTAAAACGGAAGTTCAAACTTATCGGATTACTGAACCAGTCAACCGAATAGTAAGACAATTACGAGCACATCACAAGTCCGAAACAAAGGTCGAACAACTGGACAATCATCGGGATCGCCCAAATACGGATATCGACTGAGATCTAACATCGTCCAAATACCAAATTATGAAATACAACGTCAGTCTCCAAACCAAATCAAACGCCGACCAATTAGGGTTTGCTAAATTGCCACCCGCGATGAGAAAATGCAAATTAGGTCACGCGCAAAAATACGGACAAAGCATGGGGCCTCGATACACTGCCCACCACATGCAACTAAGACAAAAAAATACGGTGTATGTTCCCATGTTCTAGCGGAATATTAATTCTTACGGTGTATGTTCCCCTGTTTTCGAAGCTCCCGCCTCTCGAACTTTTTTAGTAAAAAAAATGACAATCGAGACTGCGCTTTCCTCTGTTCAAAAGCACAGTATAGAGACAAAAAGGGTAAAAATACAAATGAAAGATTATCACAACCAAGAAGCAAAAGCAAAACATTTCAACAATGAGAATGCTTCCTCTGTTAAACAAAAATCGGAACAGTAAACAAAATGAAATTCCCCAAAAAATTATATATATGTTTGTAAAAGGGGATATATCGCGTCAAACAGAGCTGCCCGGTAAACCGTAGGCAGAGAGGGAGAAGAGGACAACAAACGAGGGGCTATGACAAACTTTTCGTCGGAGTTTCACCGACCCATAAATAAATGTTCGTGAAGGGGTCTCTATCATTGCATAAACCGTAGGCAGAGAGGGAGAAGAGGACAACAAACGTTGTTTTATATCTTCTTCCTTACAACTCCCCCTGTTCAGAACCTCTGGCGTACAAGGCCGCCCACGTGGATGTAGGTTGTATATATATATCGTCACAGACGTGGATGTAGATTGTCTATATATATATGTCGTCACAAATATATATCGGCAAACAGAGCTTCCTGGTAAACCGTATGTATATTGTCACAAGAATATCAGAGCGCAAACGCGAAAAAAAGAAATAAGGAGAAAATGAAAGAAAAAGGAAAAATGAATTCAGTTTTTTTATCTTCTTCATTATAATGTTTGTGAAAGGGCATATATATCGTCCCACCGCGTTTCGGAGCGCAAAGGCGAAAAAAGACGAAACAAAAAAGGAAAGAAAGAAATCTCCGCCTGTTCATCACCGCTTTCGTACAAGGGCAGCCACGTGGATGACAGGTTAAACGAGAATGTAAGAGGGGCCCTTTCACAAACACAAGAATACTTACTCTGTTGATACCGACGGACGCAAAGACATTCTTGTACCGCGCATCAGTGAGGTTGAACGCCAAGCCGTACAGAGGGCGCTTACTTTCCTGCAGTCGATTGGTACATTTGTATTCCCGGTCCCGCTTCTTTTTACCAGACATTATTCCTGGTCTCGCTTCTTCTTATTATATTACAACGATGTTAACAAAGACGTCAAAGAAGACAAAATAGCACCTCCTGTCCCACGGTCTCCACAGCGCCGAGTACCGAGTAGCCGCGTTATCCAACGCCGTCAACACACCACACCACTCATCTGCGACTGATGCCACTGGCGCACTCGCCGGTATATACACTACTGCCAAGTGGGAGAGCACTCGCGGCCATATACACTCACTTAGCTCAGCGACATGTTATCAATCAACGAAATTACTGATGGGAATCATCCCATAAGCCGAACGATACCCTCGTATGACGAATACGCTGATAGCCCTCACACCATTGATGAAACACAGCATAACACATACAAAAGCCTCGTCAGAAGTCACTGGAATCAGCACTGCCACATCGCCGCCAGCGTCGCTGAAGAAATAAGATGCGATCGATACTTACGAACTTCAAAATACCCCAAAGACGATGATGTCCAAGCGGGCTAAAGACCGTCCACCTCGTCGGTACCGGTAGTGTCCCATCGGTCTCGCGGCAGCCCTGGGATCTCATCCGCACCATTCAAAACTACAGGCGAGAAATCGGCATCAAGCTCATCTCGACAGGCAGCCCACCGCCGGGACCTTCTCTGGGGGCAAGGTCCCATTTACACGAATTAAGCGATATTGACCGTAGATAGCAACGGCCAGAATCTCTTAATCCGTGCAAGTGGGACCTTGACCGGAAGGAGGAAGCCCGTGTCTAGAGACTTGCGTCCACGGTTATTACGCGCCTGTTACCCATAATCAACAACAGCTGAGGGTCGGGTTTCCGGGCCGACCGCTTGAGACATACACCATCAGAACGGGAAAGGAAGCGATTCGGAGCTGCACCCCCTCAGCACCGTGTCTATAGAGTTGCATCTATGGGCATGGCCACACCGCTCTCGAAATGTGCAAAATGAGAATGAACTTCCCTCTAGAACATGACCAGATGCACCGGCCACATGTTTGTCTTTTTCACACTTCGGGAGTGGTGTGGCGAGGCCCTATGTTTGATACAAGCCTGTTATCCACTGTTAGACCACGCCCTGGGTGGTGGCGCAGCCTGGGGCGTGGGGGCAGATGTTGTGGACGCGGGAGCAATTGCGTGCGGCAACAGTGCCGTCACACAGCATTGGCTGGCTGAAGTGGTTGACCCTTTTTCTGTCCAGGCTGGGAGGCTAAGTTGTAAATGTATCCTATACAGCATTCTTCGGAGGCCCGCGGAGGTTGGGTGCTACTGGACCACAAAGGCAGGCGGTGCCAGCAAAAAGAAAACAAACCCGCCGCGTGGTCGCTTTGGCCTCCCATCTATCGATAATAGGCTAGAACCTCCAAGTCGAAACTGCAGAAAGCGGCCTCTTATGGCCGCCCACATGAGACGAAATTCAACAAGACTCCTGAATTTTTGGTGCTAACTTGCTTTTGGTCTTCAAGGTATTTTGATAAAGCAATCTGGCTGCTGTTGCAGCCCCTTTAATTGTGCTTCAAGGTTAATTTTGGAAAGCTGATAGCTTCAGGATGGGACGCTGGACCCGGTTTCCAGCAGTGGGATTGTTACTCTTTGAAATAGTTTTTGGTTGAGCTGGGCTTGTAAGCTAAACTGGCTGAGGCTGCCAGGACAACTCCGGGTCGAACTGTGAGGTCCCTGGCCTCGTTCCATTTTTGGCAATATATGAATGAAGCTTTCCACATAGACGATTGCGAAAGCCGAGAGCAAAGAGGGGG